TGGACACAGACGTCCGGTCCGGTCCGTGTTCGCATGCCAACACTGGCGGTTAGTAGATTAATTTTTTTGGTAGGCTATCGATCGATTTTGGAGGTTTAAAAAAGTTAGTACACATATATGTTTATTGCAATGAATTACATACTTTTATTATTAAAAAATAGAGGCATTGAAAAGTATTTTGAGTTGTATTAGAGGTTCACTTTTATTAGACATAAGTGATCTAATTTATGTATAAATAATTATTTGAATGAAGGTATTTAAATGCTGTTGAACTTTCCAAAACCGATATTGTCAAAATATTGTATTAGTATGACAAAAAAAATTAATTTACTAAGTCTGCCTCCACTACATAAATCTAATGTTTTCAAATCTGATAACCTAAAACCTATACATATCGGTTTTGGGAGAGTTGCCAGTACGTAATAATTTATAATTGTTATGTGATTATATTCGCGATTTCATAAGCAATTTACAACTAATAAAAGTATTTGATTGAATTAATAATCACCAAATCAAAAAATTTCACTCATGTGTAAAAAAATTAATATGGGTTATATATTTGGGATATAGGATTCGGAAAAAGAAGCCCGGAATTTTTGAAGGCTATAAAAGTAGTACGTATTCCATAATTGGTTAAGCCGAAATCAGTATATCGATACGTAATTCGTATAATAAACCCACTTTTGGCATACGGACTCCATACGTGCCTCCTGCTGCTAGTAGTAAGTCTTTAAAGTCAGACCGAACCCGCCTGACTTTAAAGACCTGTTACTGGCAGCAGGAGGCACGTGTGAGGTACAAATGGAGTCCGTCTGCCAAAAGTGGGTTTATTATTTATATACCGATACTGATTTCGGCTTAAGCACCAATTATGGAATACTACTTTTATAGCCCCCAAAAATTTCGAAATTGTACAGGCTTTTTTTTTTCGAACCTACCTGGATAGCAATAGCTATGACTTGATTAATAGATGTTGTATAGGCCCGCCCTATAAAAAAAAATTTGTCCAAATTTTGTCGGCAATGTTCTAAAAATTTTCTAAAATTATTCTGTTTTGTTCAAAAAAATGTTCGGAATGGAGTTGAATTAGTACAATGTTTATATCTAATGTTGTCAACCCAAAAATTTCTTTTTTTTACATCACAGTATAAAAATTGTACAATATTGTACTTGCATTCGGAAAATCGACTCCATTTTGAACATTTTTTCGGACAATGCCTACAATAGCTGAACAATATTTTTTGTGACTCTTATACAAATCCCTATCCAATATATTGATGTAGCTGAATGCTATATCAAACCCGGGACATGTTCATTGACTTCCAGACTAGACCCGAACCTGACCCAGATCCCTAAAGTTTGACATTCAGGCCCAAACCAAACAAAGCTTGAAAAATAGTTTGGGTTCGGGTCTGGTTTGAATTCCGAACCAAACTCATGCATAATAAATAAAATTTCAAAATACTATCATTTGCAATATCTATGCTTATCGCATATCTTGATATTTGATTGGTCAGTTTAGTAATAATTTTTGACGATTTTGATTGGGTAATAGTTTATCATGTGATCATACGAGGGCGTGCCCATTTTTTTACCCGTGCCCAACTCTAATCAGATACGGATATAGAGATAGTCATCCGGATCGTTATTCTAAATAAAGTCAAGCAACATGTTTAATATTTGTATTTCACTTTAAGTATTTAAATATTAATATTTAGAAAATTATTATTCGTATCTCTATGTAAATAATTAATATAAAGGTTATTTTTAATTAATGTAATTAGATAATTATTCTAAGCATTTACAAAATGCTGCTTATTTATTTAATTTTGATTAATCTTTTATTTTAAAGTAAGCTACTCGTGATTATTATACTTTGTCTCTCATTTATTAGTGTTGACTTGGTTGGTATTTAATTTTGAGAAGTATAAATGCTATTGAACAAATTTTATTTGTCAATTATTAATTTTTTTTTTATAACCGTTACGGTTTAACAATATACTGTATTATGTGACCTTCGTAGATTAGAAAATAAAAATTTCGAAACCTATCGGAGTAGCTTGCATCAATTTTCATGTGACTATTTCTGAATCGAATAACGATAACAGATCTACGAAGTGATATAATGATTGACTTATTTGATTCGTTGATCACACTGCGGTGATGATCTCAAGCGGTAAAACAGCAAACTATATTATATATATATATATATTATATAATACAGTATCGGTGTCTATATATATATTCGGATAATTATATATATAGTATAATTTTTAAACGTACCTAGTTGTTATATATATATATATATCATATTTTTTGTCACATATATAAAAATTCAGAGAAAATGAATACTATTCTTAGTTTTGCTCAAAAACAGGCCGATTTTGAGCAAGATTTAAAAAAAATTGGCATTTTTAACTGGTATTTGTAACTCAATTAATTGATCAATGGCGCAGTCACAGTGAATTAATTAATTGCAATTTTTACGTAATTAGCTTACGTGTAATATATTCGCCGTCAGATTTAAATGCATGTGATTTTCCATTTAAAAAAAATCGGATCACATTCGGTATTATATGCAGCGTTCTACTTGGTATAGTGAAAGAAAATTACAATTATTTCGTCACATATTGATTTCAATTAATTTCATGATTATTTTAATTGTATAACAAAAATTAATTTTTCGATAGGCTTGCTCAAAATCAACTATAGTCATTAGAGATGTTAAACTGTTAAAAATGAACTATATCAGTCACAAACTTGCAGTTTAACTATATAAAACATATTTTGACTAGTTGCGTTTATTAAAGTTAATTAATTAGAGTTATTGAAGTTATTAAAATATTTTGGTTAATCATCAAAAGTTTTTTTTTTTTATTGGCAAAAAATTAAAAGATCTTTTTATACGATAGTATATAGTATTTTTTAATTAATTACATAAACTATGTAACCGTTACAAAAACTAGTTCATACGTATTAACAGTAATTTTTTATGACGTGTCAACAGACGTGACAAATCAACTAATTCAAATGGTACGTATTGCCGAATTAAGTCCCGAACGGGGTCAATGTAATTTCATCCTATATACTATAACTACTTACTAACTGCTTAAAAATCCTTAATAGTCACGTATATTATGAAGCATAAGTATGCAGAGACATAGGTGATGATGGAAATGGTAAATAAGATAAACCAATTTCAGTAACGACGAAACATACTGACAGTTATGGACAAAAACAAATAGGCACAAATAAACACCATTGCCTCTTTAAAGATCAGATGGTTTATCTGTGAAAGGATACGGTATTTAATCTATTATTATTAAGGAACACTGGTTTTACACAACTATTTTTGGTATCAATATTGTTACACTCTTGCAAACTCTTGCACATGCTTGCACACTCTTGCGAATAATACATTACATATGTGATCAAAACATGTAGATAGATGTTATTTTATCATTCGCGAAGATGTAGGGGTGTGGAAATACAAATTCCTTAATTTATTTTTTATATTCTGTTGATTAAGTGCTTAACATTAGCGCCTCACATAACGATTGGATATTTTTTGTAACAACATATAAAAAAATTTTTTTTATTGATGTTTTACAGAAGTGCTCTTTATACTAAATCTGCAAGTTATGTAGCAAAAATTATACATATAAGTTATGAATAAAGAAAAAAAAATTTTTTTGAAAGAGAACTAAATAAGACTAGAATAAAATCTATAAATTTGTAAAGGCAAAAAAAATTTCAAATAAATTCACATATTTGATAACACTAATTTAAAAAAGAAATAAGGTTAAGTAGTAAAGCTAATCAAATAGTAAAGCTAATTTTAACACATACGTATCCATTGCTGATAACATTGTAATAAGTACATATATAGTAATAAGGGCGATAAGTTTCAGAGCTCATTTTTTAAATTCTGCATCGTGATCCCGGTTTTGGCTCTAATAAAGAGGATCACAATAATATATCAATAATATATGAATGAATCATATTATCCATCATTATATGTGATTTCATTTATCCAAGTAACTATATTTCTGTATTTGTAACACTTTATTTTTAAAGTTTTAAATTAGAATTCGAAATACGAATAAATTACAAAAATTAGATATTCTAGAATTTCTAAAGTGACAGTCAAATATACTTTTTTAGAACTAAATGTTTATGTGCTCTTTAATTATATCATGTGATAAAAGTGAAAGGAGAAAAACAAAGAATAAATCACGTTTCGATGAACATCGGAATTTTTCATTGAAAGAATTTGGTAATCGGGATAAAAAATAAAGGTAACGCAAATAATCGAACCAATATTCAAATGTATGTATGTATATAGTGTCAAAAACAGGTGTAGATCAAACTTTTAATCGACGTTCTACTTGTGTGAAAAAAAAAAACCTCCCATCACAAAACCCTTGTATTCATGTACAGTACATGAACTTTACTTACAAAAAAGTAGATGCATTATGAAATCAAAATCGCACCAATTCTATACTTAAATTAAAGATTCAAAAAAAAAAAAAACTTATTATTACGTAATCCGATGCCTGCATTTACTTGTTTACGTACACTAAAAAGAAAATATTCAAACCTTTTTCATAAGAGCTCATAGAATGTAACACTAAAAATTATTTTCAATTACGTAAAGGTATAATAAACATGAACACGTTATCACGTTAATCATTTTACTGTATTTAAAGTTAATAATATATGCGCTTTGAAAATCTACGTATACATTTATCCTTAATATATTGCATTGATTGCTGACAAACTGATCCACGCAATTTTATTCACTTCTCTGTCATTACATACATTGCATATAATTAATCGCTTTTAATACGATTGTAAAATGCATTTCCGTGTTAAGTTCGTGCATCAATTATAATCGATTATAGTTTCATATAAATATATGCTTCTTACACCTTTAACCAGATGAATATTTTTGCTTTCCATCTTTTCTAAGCTCGTAAGTTTATCAGAAGTTTACAGAAATGGACCAAAGCGATTCTAATATCAAAAATAATTATCACAAACAACATCAATTTCATTCTCAACAGTTTCAACCATATCAATTACAAAATCATTCTTCTGATCCCTTGGTCCCTTTAGCTTCTTCTACTGAATTTTGCAACAGTAATAAAGAACCTTTGACTAAACATGATTTGCAACGACTTCAAAAACTCGTCGATTTAATGTTTTCGAATAAATCTACGGTTACTTCTAAACTTTCTGTTCAAAAATTTTCCTCCTCAGAAGATGATATTTTGTCTTCTATTATTCTCTACCTTCCACTTCTTATTAATAAGCCTTTGGAAATAAATCAAATTACATTTCCAATAAATATTATGTTTTATCATACTTATCCTAATCTTTTAGGTGAACTTATTGATAATAATTTAAATCATAATACAATGACTCTCCCTTCTATTAATGAACCTATTTCTTCTAATATTACTATTACACCCCTATGCACTCCATCTAAAGAGCTATGTAAACAACTGATAAACGATTATTTTAACAAATTCAATGCTATCATTCCTATTATTAATCGTAAAAAATTTAACGAACAAAATTATGATAATAAGAAAAATTCAGAGATGATAATGTGTGCAATTTTAGCTGTTGCTGCATCAAGATATTCTGATGATCCTTCACTTCAAAAAACTTCTGATAAACCTGGTGGTATATTTTTTGATTTTGCCAAGGTATGTTTATAATTTATCTTTTAATTACGCGAATATATTTTTATTTATATTGCACATTATAACTTATTATTATTATTATTATTTTTTAACATTTGTACGTATGTAGAAATTATTAGATACAAAATATAATATACCAAGTTTGGAAACTGTTCAAACATTACTACTTCTGGGACATGCAGAAGATAGCATGACACGCATTTATAGTGTATCAATGTTTTTTGGCATGGCAGGTACATAAGTACTTTGTATACCCTATATGTTAATTTTTTTTCTGTAAGGGTTTATTAACATTAATTTTATTTATTCCTTAAATATGTAGTTCAAATGGCTCATATTTTACATCTTGAACGAAATGATGATAATTTATCCTCGGATGATAAAGAAGAAAGAAGAAGAATATTTTACTGTGTTTACTGTGTAGAGAGGTATATTATTATATATATACTTTTTTATACTAAATTCTGCTAATATTATTTACTGCATATATATACTTTTTTATACTAAATTACGCTAATATTATTATTTTACTATTTACTATCTGTTATAGATGGATATCATTCATATTTGGAAAACCTATTATCATTGATGATATAAATATCAATGTTCCTTTACCTACTTTAACTTCATTTGGCACTTTGACGAAAAAGTTCTTTATAGCATGGATAAAGCTATCACGTATACTTGGTCAAATTTGGAATTTTGGTTATTCTTCTCAGTCCTTGGCTTCTCGTGAAAGTTGGTTCTTTTACGCAACTGACCAAAAAAACTTGTTAAAACAAATTCGTTTAGAATTGACAAGATGGTTAAGAGAATTACCGGATGAATTACGATGTCAATATTTGCCGAATGCTGATTCAAGTCGTGCCAAACCATCTAATTTTTCCGCTTTTGCTGGTACATAATATTTTAATAATGTGTTTTTTTCCCATTACTTTCTTTTATTTATTTATTTATTTATTTATTTGTTTATTTGTTTATTTTTAATGTTTAGGATATATCAACATTCTTTTTCACACATGTCTACTTCTACTTTATCAACCTTATCTAACTCGAACAAGTGGTCCAGCAATTGAGGTACAAAAACAAGGTCCAGATGGTCCTGTTCAAATGTGCCTTACTGCAATTACCACAATTACTGAAATTGTTAGAACAACACTAAATTATGATCATAAATCATTTTGCAACTTTCAATTTCCTATTTATGGATTATTACAATCGATTGCATTGGAATTAGTCATTATTAATGGTGCACAAGAATTTGAATCGATTGCTAAAAATGCTTTAAATAATTCAATTAATGAATTAAGATTTGCTACAAAAAATTCTAATCTCACTTATTTACAAGAAGCTATTAATGAATGTGAAAAAATAATTATGATAACTAATGGAAGGTTAAAATATTTCGAAAAAATTTTTGGAAATTCTAATCAATCAACAACGTGTGACGATGATGAAGAATGTACGATGGATGACATAAACGATTACCCTATGGATTATTGAAATTATTTCTATTTTCACGTGCTATTTGTGCTTTTCCTGGTACACCTAGTATTATTATGATTACAAGTATAATAATCGTTATTACCTAATAAAATTGATAGACATTGTAATAGTAGATCATTAAGATTAAAGCTTTATTGGTGCGGATATGTATATATTTTATAAACAAACATCTTTATGTAATAAAGTTATAAATCTTCCATGTGTATAATAATAATTTATGTTACTGTTTTTTACAATTTTTATATGCCGGGGTGGGAATAAAAAAGCAAAAAATAATACCGATTTACACTTGTTTAACAATTAAATGATATTATATACTAATGTACAATACCCAAGTATATACTGTACAACTGTACGTTCGTACTACGCATAACTGAAAGCCAAGATTCCACATGTGTCTTTTTCAGGGGTAATAATAATAATGGGTTGATGGACAATCGTTTCTATACGAAATCCACCAAAAACAATATCATCAAACATTGTAAAGGGGATATTACATTTAGAAAAATCACGCCATTTAAATTACTTGAGTACAACTTTAAACGGCAATATCCGTCTGAAAAAAAAAAAAACCAATAAAATAATTATTGCTACATGTGTTGATACATTCGATCATGAAATGACAGAAACAAGGTATTTAAGAAATTTATTGTACTCAACTTGGTTTATATATGTAGTATAACCTAATGGTGGAATTGATGTGTTTACGATCTGATTGGTTGATTTTAACCACTGAAGGTGCGCAAAATGTTATTGATTTTTGTTTCCTATTCATGGTTCGGCATTTACGTCATTACTCATACAATACTGCAATAGTCATAAAATTCGGTTCCATGTGACAACAATTTTTGCCAGACACTATTTCCCTAACAATATTATTGATAATATTGTTGAAAAAATTGTTGTCGGCAAATTGTTTTCGGGCAAAAATTGTTGTCGGGCAAATTGTTGCCGAGCAAACGGCATGAAATCATCAAATTCGTAGAGAGAAAGTATTTAATTGGCTAATGTAAATCAATTACCAATTTATTACATGAAACTTCCGAAAAATTTTATAACTAGTATTAGATTTAGAATTAGGAAATCGGTGTAAAAATAGCAATTCCTTAAATTTATTTTTAAGTTTTAGCTGCAATAAAAATAGGTTATCATAATTTCTGGAACGCCCGATAAACATTTGTCAAATGATTTTAAAAATTAAATGATACAGTCAAACCTCCCTAAATGCAACTCTTTAGAATCAAACTTTTAATAACATGCATTTAGAGAACAATAAGAAAATTTGCAATTATGGAGGTTAGAGATATATTTGGGATTGCATTTAAAGAGGTGTTGCATTTAGGGAGGTTCTATTTAATTTTAATCCAATCATATATATGTGATATTACTAGTGATGTGAGTTGGTAGCTACCGGTAGGTGTCTTCCACTGGTATCTATCGGTAGATACCGTTAGATACCGTTAAACTAATAATAGATATTATTAGCTAAACTAATGTAATGTCAATGCTATGAAAATTAATAATGTGGCTAGTAGATCTACCGGTAGCTAGCACTGCAGCTACCGGCAGAATCATAACTATTTGGAAAATTCACTTATTACATAATTACTGAAAAATTAAACTATGCAATTGTTTTATTGGCTAATTGTTTTTTTTTCGATAAATATCGCTTATGAAATTAGCATCTTGCTTATTAATATTTTGATATAGTGACGTATTTTCGTTGTTTAAAGATAGTAAATTAATAATATATGTATTTTTATATGTAACAATATCCCCATCAAAAATTTTCGCCCGTATGTTCGGCATAATGGAGTCAATATATACATACGTAAATGAAAATCAAATAACTAATGTAAAAAATATAAGGATATCTCTTGTTGAATATAGAAATATGATACTTTCAAAGCATCTTTTGCTGACAAATAATTGAAAAAAACTTAGGATTATCATTTCGAAAAATTGTCAAACACTTAGGTTTTAGCATATTCGGTTCTCAAGCACTTTCAAATATTGAAAAACTTTTATCATTTTTAAGAAACCATATTTATTATGATTTTTCAATTTAAGTTTATCATTACAATATTATATATATTATACTCTAATTATATTGTATATACTAAGGTTGCTGGCCGTAAGTAATAATTACAGATATCTCAAATTACAACCTAGATTGCAACTCTAATTACAACTTATATCAAAAAGTTGTAATATCGTAATGGTTGTAATTGTCATAATGCCCGTAATAGTTATATAATTATAATAATAACAATTTCTAGTTTGTAAGTATAATATATTAGCATCACTTACATTTGCAAATTTTTAATAACATGTAAATGCTTTATATTTATTTATTCTTTCAACTTCAATTTTATTTGATAGAACTGCTTTAAAGTATACTAATAATAATAATATTCTGATCTGTTAAGAATTAGTGAAGACAAAGTTTTTATTTATTCATATTATCAGAGTATTATTAATTAATCCTTCTGTAATCTTGATATAGTGATTAGAAGATTACTTTATTAATAACTTTATCTGTGCTTATAAGTAGTTAATTTTGCTTAATTTGATTTAACAAGCTTATTATATTATAACTACTATAATTATTATATTAATAATATAAAAAATAATCTATTTACTACTTAAGTAAATTATTTATTCTTTTATTAATCTAAGATGTTAGTAATTAGGGTTAAATAAATTATATATAAAATTATGCAAAGAATCTTTTTTATTAAAATTCAAAAGATAGTTTTATAAGCAAAATAGTAAAATATTTAATAATTTTTAAAAAAATTGTCTTTGTTTTATTATATAATAATAATTTATATATTATCCCTTAAATTGTAACACAGGCAAATTTGCCTGTGTTTTTATTAAAAAGTTTAATTTTTTTAATAAAAAC